TAAAGAGAACTTTAAAAGATATGTATTTATTTGAACAACATAAAATAAGAAAAGTTACTTTTTTTACAAACAAAATATATCTCGAAAATAATGTTTCATATTTATTTAATAAATATTTTACTCTAATAATATTTAATTTGCATGCAACTTAATAAGAAAAAGTAAAAAAAAAAATTAAATGTTTTTTAGATCATAGCAATGAAAAATAAAAATCACTAATAATAATTTGAAATATATTTTTAATTTAATTTTAGTTAAGTCATCAAAATGATGTGTCATCTACATCACCTCATTAAAGCCACACAAGCAAAAAAAGTCAAAGGATTAACCGGTTTAAAAGGTAACAGGTTACCCATTGCTATTATGGGTAGATTTTTTAAAGTACAATGCCTTAATAAAAAATAATTTGAAATTACATTGTAGTAATAAAGAAAAACAAAAATAGAATGTTATAATAAGAAAATTTATGAAAGCATGTTGTTATTTCATGCATTTAACCCAATAAAAAATATAAAAGTAAGAGGAGTAATAGATAAACATTGAAATAGTTAAAAATAATAAATCAAAAAATAATAATAGGCTTTTGGTCTAACGGTACGTGAGCATTTGGCCTCTTAAGAGATCAATGGTTCAAACCCAACCATAGGTGAGGAGGATGTGTGAGTTTATGTGTTTTATTTGTCGTATATAAATATTATATACTTCAAAAAAATAAAAAAATAACAATTTAAATCTAGAAAGGTTAAAAGTGAAAATTTAATTGCATTGTTTTGAGCATGTTTTTATCGTTCAGTATAGAAGACGTACTAAAAAATGATAGATTACAGGAGGAGATATGTCGGGAACTGTACACCACAAAGGAGAGTTGTGGAAAATAGCTGATTTTGTAAAAACGTATAGTATATCCATCACATGAAACACATATCAGATTTTTAGTAAATATAAATTTATTTAGTTTATGTTCAGACCTTTCATATAATGATGTGTATTCACGTGATTGGTGGACAATTATAAGAGATTGATTGGTTGTATTCTGTTAAGTCTTGTATGTATAAATCTATCTGGGTGGATTGATATGACTGTATAAATTGGGAAGTTTTTGTTTGAACAAGTTTTTCATAAATAGAATCAACGTGTTTTTTTAAGTGGAAGGGGCGTCTTTGAGAAAAACTTAGGGGTTGTTTGTTTACCTCTTAACAGTTACATTAAGAGGCAGCCTCTGAATCGTTAAGAGGTGAATATTGTTTGGCAAAAAAAGTCTTCCTCTTGATGTTCTAAAACCTTCCAAATAATTTTGTATCATAGGTCTCTCTTAACTATTAAGCATACTAATTTCATTGTAAATAATTACCAAACAATTATATTTTATTTTACAGTATATCATGAGAGTCTCTCGTTCTGATTACTTAATTATTCTACATCAAATCATTCAGCAACTATCAAAATAAATTTCATTCAAAACTTAATATGATTAAAGTCACCATCATACTGTAACATATAGCTGATCGAATAAGGAGTCTCTCATAATAAAAGGCAATTCACGGTTGAGGTTGCAAACGACCAATTTGTTCATCTTCGCAAACAACTGAATCTTTCGATTCTGTAACGAAAATGGAAAATGGGAATGGGGGTGTGAATATGAAGACGGAGCCAAATTTGAGCATCAAGGGGATTCTTAGAATGTTAATGGCGAATATTGACGATGAGAAGAACATGAGAGTAATTTCTCTTGGAATGGGTGATCCAACTGCTTTTTCTTGCTTCACCACTACCTCCATTGCTGAGGATGCTGTTCTTGATGCTCTCACCTCTCAGAAATTCAATGGCTACTCCCCTACTGTTGGTCTTCCTCAAACAAGAAGGTATTTGTGTTTTATTTGATTTTTTGTTTCGAGATGTTTTTGTGTTTTAGTTTTGAATGGATCAACAGCAGAAGAGGACTTTGAGTAATGAACACCAAGTGTTTGTTGAAATGCACCTTACAAAAATTTAAGCTCATTGGATATAGCAAAAAAGAGGAGATTTATATGAGATGCCCATGTAGCTCAGTTAGCAAAAGGAATGACCGACTTTGCTTAAATACATAATAGGTTCAAGTTTGAATCATGCCGAAGACGGGCTTGAACCCGTCTGCTAGCCTCAACCACCAAGTTGACCCTGAAATATCTTCTCACATATGGGGCCGGTTGGGGTTGTCGGTAGGGTGGACCTGCTAAGGACCGAGTGTAGTCTTGTGTTACCACTCACTCGATTATTACAAGAGAAAAAATTTAGGGGTTCGAAAGATGCACCTGTTTAGGTTTGAATAACCATATGGGGAACTTTTTTTTTTGCCTTTTAGCCATCTCCAAAAGAATTCACAAAATAGCCAACAAACCGCAAGTCAACGCCACAAGACACTTTTCCTTGTAGTTTTTGATATTTTCTGAAGCATCCAGATGAGAAGTGGGTGCACTGCAACGACATGCATCGACGCACAAAAAGCAAACCAAAGTAGTAGCTTGCGGCACCGCAAAGACATGGCATAACTTGCTGAACCGCAAGAAAAGGTTGACTTGCGGTTTCTTGGTTGTTTTGTAAAGAAAAGTTTAAAAGTGACTAAAAAGTAAAACCATGTGGTTATTTACGATAATAACCCCACAACTACTACTACACATTTGTTAATTTTTCTCCCATTTTGATTTCATTATCGTTCTTCATGATATATTTCCGTTCTCAATGTCGATTCATCTTCTAACTTCTATATCATTTGGTCAAAACAGGGCAATCAGTGAATATTTGTCCATGGATCTCCCATACAAGTTATCTCCAGATGATGTATATATAACAGCAGGCTGCACACAAGCTATAGAGCTAGCTATATCAATTCTAGCCACACCAAATGCAAACATCTTGATTCCAAGACCCGGATTCCCGATCTACGATATTTGCGCTGCTTTTAGAAATGTCGAAATGCGCCATTTTGACCTTCTTCCCGAGAAGGGTTGGGAGGTTGACCTCGACGCCATTGATGCATTAGCTGATGAGAATACCGTTGCAATAGTCGTTATAAACCCCGGGAATCCATGTGGAAATGTCTATAGTTTTCAACATTTAAAGAAGGTATTTGCATCTTAGCTTTCATGATCTTTATTTTAGGCGTCTTATAAACTCAATTTTGTTGCACTGTACTAATTGAATCTTGTTGGTCAAATGTAAGCAGATTGCTGAAACTGCAAAGAAGCACAAGATTGTAGTTATAGCAGATGAAGTTTATGGCCATTTAGCCTTTGGCTCGAACCCGTTTGTGCCAATGGGTGTTTTTGGTTCGACGGTGCCCGTCCTTACGCTTGGATCTTTGTCAAAAAGATGGATAGTTCCCGGTTGGCGGCTTGGGTGGTTAGTGACTGCCGATCCTAACGGCATTTTAAAAAATGCAGAGGTACGTGAACCTTGAACAAGACTCTTTACGGAAGTTCAATTGATTATTGATTCTAACTCTTTCCTCAGATCGTTGAGCGCCTTAAGAAGTACGTCGATATTTGTGGTGGCCCGGCAACCTTTATACAGGTTGGTTGCTCCGTGGTTTCGGATGTTACGTACATTCAAATGAATACTCGAAATCTACAATTTGTGTATCAGTTTGAATCTTGGTCTTGGTCAACTTTTATCTGTATCAGTAGACCCAATATATCTGACTCAAAAGTAGGGTCTGGGGATAATATACATCATATATGCAGACCTGTCATCTATCCAATGGGTAGAGTGGCTGTTTTTGTGAGTTTTCCTTTTGCATTATTTTCTCCATATTGTGAAAACTCGTATATTATTCTATGTGGAATCGACTCTCTTGGGGGAACCACAATAAATCGGCCATCTCCTACAGATTTTCCATAATGGAAATTTTGGAGTTTTTAATCAGTTTTTTGCTTCAACAGATCCTTCAAAATGGAGAAAGTAGGAGAGAGAGGGTAAAAATCTCTAAATTTGGAGAACTCTGCAAAATTAAATGATGAAGAGAAAAAAAATTCTTTTTATTGTTTCCACCAATACAGTTTTCTCCCAAAAAATTACGTTTTTCATCCATATGGTTTACAATTTATTGTTATTTTCGTCTATGGACTAATTTCTACCTTTAAAATCCAAGGGACCAAAATAATAAAGAATTGTAAACCAAAGGGACCGAAACAACAATAAGTTATAAATTACAAGAACAAAAATAACAATGAATTACAAGTCATAGGGACGAAAACTGCAATTTCCAAACCATATGGACAAAATTCGTAGTTTTTAACAAACCACAAGGACTAAAAATGTAATTTACTTTAAAGTTTATTTGAAAGTTACTTTGAATATTAAATGTATGGAATATTTTAATAAGATAATTTCAGTTTTTTTTCTTTATTTTGGATAAATTATAAAAAAAATCTATTAGAGATGTTTTTACCAGCTATGCAAGTTGCATATTCGTTATTTTTAGGCAGCGGTGCCTCAAATTCTCAAGGAAACCAGTGACGTGTTCTTCACAAGAACTCTCGGCATACTGAAACACAGTGCGGATCTTTGCGTCAAGAAAATAAAAGACATCGCGTGCTTAACATGTCCAACGAAACCGCAAGGAGCGATGACCGTGATGGTGAAGTTGAATGTTTTGATGCTAAAAGATATCATCGATGACACCGACTTCTGTTTCAAGCTGGCCAAAGAAGAATCCGTGATCCTTCTTCCAGGTGATAAAAACAAAAAAGATTACGACTTTCATCCGCATTTAATATGCATTGATGACTTGTACCATACAATACATTATTGTTGTGAGAATATGTGGAACTAGAGATATATAACGGATCGGTTAACTGATTTTGAACCAGTAAGATCCCATGACAGTCCTAAAAGGAAATAGTTAAAAGATACAGGCGAAAACCCGTTTTGGTCTAAAATTTTGAACTTAGGGCTAGTCACTAACCGGTTAAAACAAACTCGGGATAATGCCTAAAACCGGTCCTTGGTTAACCGAAAACCGGTGGATCAAGGCCGGACAAACTCTAAAATAGGTTTCGTGGTAAAAACAAGATACACTTGGACCAGAAAAACTCATGCTCAAAAATATTTTATGTAGTATTTATTTCTTTAAAATTGGTGCTTTATAACAGATTAATAATTATTTTTTTTATAGTATGAAATGATAAAAAAAAATTAGACACCAGAGACTCAGTACCGGAATTGGAACTGGTTCCTAAATATAAAGAACCAGTTCTATGAATTTTGGTTGGGTACCCGCCTTTGCTCACCCCTAGTTAAGGCCCGACCCTATCTCTTTTAAGTTAAAATAACTGAATTTTTTAGGACCCATCAAGGGTAGGTCCTTGTGCACCTCTACGTGGAACTCCGTTAGATTACTCTAAAAAAAGAGTCATGGAGTAGATAAAAGAGATTCCGACATATATTCAATGTGGGACCCTGACACACCCCTTCTAACCGTGGTTGGGCGGGCATAGACTCCTCTGGAGTTTCGAGTCTCTAAAGTTGTAGACCTTGGCTATGATCCCATGTAAAGGACGTGGAACCTTGTTAGAATACTCTTCAAATCCAACGTTTATTGACGATAAGTTATCTAAGAGAAACTGATGTAGGGCTTTAACAGCTATCGTCTTTTTGGTTTTGCAGGAGTGACGGTGGGACTGAAGAATTGGGTCCGGATAACTTTTGCCGTTGAGCCATCATCTCTTGTAGAAGCTCTTGAAAGAGTGAAGACCTTTTGCCATACCCATTCTTATGAACCAAAAGGTTGAGTTTGATCCACCCTCAAACCTCTTCATGATTTTACCATAAATATTTACAAGTTCTTCCTTGTATAGCTATAAAAAAAATACAATAAAACTTAAATCAGATATATTCAGTATATTTCACTTAAAAGTATAATCCCACGTAAAAGGTTAGTACTTGTAAAAAAGGCAGATTGCATGAAAATGTAACGTACTTTAACTTGATTCCTATTTTGGGTAACGTACTTTTAAAACATCTATTTTGGTACCTAAGATGTAAAGTTTTAAACACTTAAGTACCCAGGTAACTGGCTGAAACATTAACCGGTTATCATGCTGATGTGGTATCCAACTCAGTATTATTTGCTGACGTGGTTAGTGACATTAATTTTTTTAATCTAAAATTAGTATTTAACCGGTTATCTGGTATTTAAATATTTAAACTTTTACATCTTATGTAGCAAAATGGAAGTTTTAAAAGTACATTATACAAAATAAAAATTAAGTTAAATTACGTTAATTTTTCATGTAATTTATCCTATAAAAATTTACAATAAGACTGGAAAATAAAGGGTTAAAAGGCTTGTTTTAGTGGGTTCTAACGATTTAAAATTATGAAAATAGCTCATTGAGGTGTGTATTTTATTTATTTTTGTAATATGTATTTTAAGTGTTGTATTTTAATTATTGTTATTATTAATTTTGTATTTTAATGTATAATATTTATTATTTGCAAAATATGTTGTTAATATATCTTTTAAGTACAATAACCTGACTTCTTTTACGAATTGTGGGACAAACGAGAGTGTCACGTATCCCAGATATTTACGGGATATTAATCAGAAAAAAAATTCACCTTCATTATTCAAGATGAATGAGAACACTGTGTTGTGCACCCTTTCGTTCCTTGGTTTGTAAGGGAAATCATGTTTGCACGTTCATTATCCAATTAAAATCGATTTATAGGACTAAGTTCACATGAGACAAACATGTTTTTGTAAAACCACGTTTTTACACTTGAAACTTCACAGCAAAACATTGTGAAGGTAAAAGAAATCCGAACCTTCATAGTGTTTTGTTGTGAAGTTTCAAATGTAAAACTGTGGTTTCACGGTTCTCACGAAAACATGTTGGGTTCACATATCCCAACTATATATATATATATATATATATATAGAGAGAGAGAGAGAGAGAGAGAGAGAGGTTGGTTATTATACAATCCTTTACATTTATACAACCAATACAACCCAATCTCAACCGTTCATTTAATTTGATGAATATGTGATTTCTCATAAGTTTTGATTGTTTCCTAATATAAAATATTAATCATAATTAATGAACTCTATTCATCTTCCATAAATATTCAAATGATAATAAATAAACTCTTATCATTTTTATAAATATCTCAATTAATTGGGTTATATTGGTTATACAAATGGGCATGGTTGCATTTGAAATATACCCTATATATATGTATATATATATATATATGTATATATATAGAGGTGGGTTATTATACAACCCTTTAAATTTGTACAATCAATACAACTCAATCTCAACCGTCCATTTAATTTGCTGAATATGTGATTTCATAGAAGTTTTGATTATTTCCTAATATAAAGTATTGATCATAATTAATGAACTTTATTCATCTTCCATAAATATTCAAATCATAATAAATGAACTCTCATCATTTCTATAATATCTCAATTAATTGGGTTGTATTGGTTGTACAAATGGACATAGTTGTATTTGAAATATACCCTATATATATATATACATATATATATAGGGGCTCATTCAAGTAAGAACTGGTTAGTTTGTGGTAACCGTGAGATCCAATCTCAACCACAAATCAATAGATAAATTAGAAAATTTATAATTTTGGTAATTTTTAATTAAAATTTTAATGCAAGAACATTTTAGGTATTTTCTCTCATCCCTCCTCTCTTCTTTCTCCGTCCTCGTCTTCCGGCCATCGTCCTCCCACCACCATTCTCCGGTGATACCACAGTGTGATACTCAAGCACATATAAGATGCATTGTGAATTTGTGATACCATTGTGTTACATATCCGATCGACCGCACAAACGACCATAGTGTAATACCAATCACGTATAAGATGCATTGTGATACCACTATGATATCACCGTGGGACGGTGGCCGGAAACGGTGGCCGGAAGCCAGGGGACGGAGAGAGAAGAGAGGAGATAGGAGAGAGAATACCTAAAATGTCTTTGCATTAAAATTTTAATTAAAAATTATCAAAATAAAAAATTTCCTAATTTATCTATTGATTTGTGATTGAGATTGGACCTCACGGTTATCACAACTAATTAGTTTTCATTTGATTAGGCCTATATATATATTATTTAATAAGTTGTTTTTAAAATTTTATTTAAAACTTTACTCGTGTAGTGGAGAGGCGAAGGATCGTGTGAGAAGATAAGTCATTGTGAGAAACGTAAAAAGATATATGAACTTTTGATCACTTTTAATCTAATTTCTATCCATTAATTGCACTTAAGAAGTGAATTGATCTGGTGCATGTCGATGCACCTCATTAGTATTGACATTTAATTAAGATTGATCCAAATGTGGATATTTTTTCTTACGCTTCTCACCATAACTTCTCATCTTACCGGAATTCAACCCATTGCAAAGATATATAAATATAGTTATCTATTTTTATCAATATTTTTTTATTAACTTGGATATCTAATCCGATATGCGAGCCGACTAATCCCAGAACGACCACTTGTTTTGCAGCATTTGAACCTCCGTAGCCACAAGAGGATTTTTATTATTTCTTGGATTTAAACCTGAGACCTTCTTCTACTTTTGATCTTTGAAGCCAAGTTCAAACCAATCATTTTTATCAATATTTTATTGAAAATTGGGATTGGGATCAACAACAAACGATCTCTCTTGATACGCTTTAATTGTGACTTTGGGAAATGGACCCTCCGCAAATTGATTGTTTTTATTATGGTTCGTTAAAAAATTTGATTATCGTTTTTATAAATTGTACGAAAAAGTAATGTATTTTAATTTGATTTTTATTTTGGGTAATGTATTTTTAAAACTTTCATTTTGCTATCTTAAATGTAAAATTTTAAATATTTAAGTACCCGAGTAACGATTGAAGACTAATTTTAAATTAAAAAACTCCATGTCACTAGCCACGTCAAGAAAACATCACTCGCCACATCAGCATGATAACCGGTTAATGCTTCAACTTGTTATCCGGGTACTTAAATGTTTAAAACTTTATATCTTATATACAAAAATGAAAGTTTTGAAAATACATTACTCAGAATATGAATCAAATTAAAATACGTTATTTTTTTCATGCAATTTGCCCTTTCATTTTTACGGTTTATGAATCATTATTATTTTCATTTTTATAATTTATAATTTATTGTTGTGCCGGACTCTGTAGTTTACAATTATTTACTGTGTTCGTCTCTTATTCGTACCATAATTTTCTCGTTGGTACCATCGTTTTCTCGTAATAAATAATACGAATACTTTGTACCCACGTAAACAAACACCTTCACATTCAACTCGTACCAACATATAACGTTAAAAGAGTGAACAACATTTTTTTTGTCCATGCGGTGTTGAATATGGGACTCGTGAGAAATCACAATTATCACGTGGACTCGTGAGAAATCACAATTCACAGTTACACGGAATTTGATCATGCATAAATTTCAATTCACTTTATCTCGATTTAGGCATAAATCGAGATCTTATAACCATAAGGAGGTTTTGTAATGTCTTGTACGTTAAAATCATGAACGAATTCACCTTGAAAAAGGCATCAACTACCGAAATTAATCGAGCAATTATTGATCGGTTACAAAATGGTATCTGTACTGAAAGTCCGAAAGGTGAAATATCGTTTAAAGCAACGGCCAAATTCATAAGAATTTGCACATCACAAAGACCGTAAAAGATAATAAATGACAAACAGTATTCGTAATTTCTAACAATCATTGGGTCCAAAAAATGCAGTTACTCTTGTTACTGTTTACTTTTCGACGATAAAATTAGCATAATATTTTAATGTGTTCAACTTGCAAACAGTCTATCTATGAGTATTCCATAACTGGTTGAAATTATCAAAAGCTAATCAAACCAAAGTAATTTGGCTGGTTTAGTTGAGTTGGTCCGATTTACGACCAGATATAGAAAGCTAAGAAAACTCGACCTGACCAATGATTTACAACGTTCAATCTACCTGATTGATCGTATATGATAATATGTATGATTGTTTTAATATATAAAACGTTGGAATGCGGGGAGGTTCAAATACAAAAGACAAAAAAACTTGAGAACTTGTGAATAAACTATTCATATGTGAATTATTGGTAAAAGAAAACGTGTTTATTGGTAAGATTCAACACTATCAATTAACTTACCAGATAAGATTTTGATCTATTAATACAACACCGTATACTACATTTATATTTGGTAAGAATTATTACTCTCACTTACTGAGTAAGAATCATATTTGAAGATTCAAATGTCAATTAACATTACAGATTATTCATATGAATTTACACATATATCGATTCAAATCTTCTAACAATATTTAGTCTTATTGTTTGAACGGTAGAATTTAACTGTGAAGTAGTTGTCTTCTTGACAACAGTTTGTTAAATATGGCGCGTGGGTAAGTGTAGACCACAAAGGAGAGTCGTGAAAGATCGCACACGTCTCAAATTTGGAGCTTCCCCAAACTCTCAAAATAAAAAAAACGCAATCCGTGGTTGATTTTGCAAACCACCAACACTTGGGGGTGAATCTGCATTTCAATATTTTGTTATTTCTCTATGCACATAGCATCATTGCATTCTGTAAAGAAAATGGAGAATGGGAATATGAAGATGGAGACCCCAAAAAATATTACAATAAAAGGGATTCTTGGAATGTTAATGGCAAATCTTGATGATGAGAAGAAGAGGAGAGTGATTTCTCTTGGGATGGGTGACCCAACTGCTTTTTCTTGCTTCACTACTACTTCTGTTGCAGAAAATGCTGTTCTTGATGCTCTCACTTGTCAGAAATTCAATGGGTATTCTCCTACCGTTGGTCTTCCTCAAACAAGAAGGTATGAATCTTCCATTCGTTTTCGGAATTAGATTCTATTTGGGGTTTATTGATTATTTTCTAGAGAGGTTTTTATGTTTTTAACAGTGAATGGATTGTATATAACCACCATGACCACCAGAAGAAGACTTCAGTCATGAACACTAACTGTTTGTAGAAATGCATGATACAAAATTTAATCAGATACTATGAATGACGTAAAAGAACGGATAGCTTACTTCAAAAGTGATACTTTAGGGTATGCTTGTTAGCAGCTTAACGAGCTTATTAGGAATCACAACTTATTCGATCAGCTATATATGACTGTTTGGTAGTAGTTTAGTGATATTTAAAGTGGTTTATTCAGTAAGCTTTTAGGGGAGCTTTATGCTTTTTTTTTCCAAATATGTCCTCCCGACTAAGAAAAACACTTCTTTCTATATATAAAGAAACCCTCCCAAATAACAACCTTCCAAATCTATACAAACAAATTAATCCACACAGACAGCTTTTCTGCATACAGGACTTAACGAAAAACCAAACAAACCAACCCCTAATTTGCTTATAGCTTTTATGTCATTCTGGTCAAAGCAGGGCAATCAGTGAATATTTGTCCATAGATCTTCCATACAAGTTATCTCCAGATGATGTATATATAACAGCAGGCTGTACACAAGCTATAGAAGTAGCTATATCAATTCTAGCCACACCAAATGCAAACATCTTGGTTCCAAGACCAGGGTTCCCAATCTATGATCTCTGTGCTGGTTTTAGAAATGTCGAAATCCGCCATTTTGACCTTCTTCCCGAGAACGGTTGGGAGGTTGACCTCGATGCCGTTGATGCATTGGCTGATGAGAATACGGTTGCAATAGTCGTTATAAACCCCGGGAATCCATGTGGAAATGTCTATAGTTTTCAACATTTAAAGAAGGTATCTGCATATATGATCTTTATTTTAATCTTTTGTGCAATTGGCTAATGATTTGAGGTACTAATTGATCGTGTTGGTCAAATGTAATCAGATTGCTGAAACTGCAAAGAAGCACAAGATTGTAGTTATAGCAGATGAAGTTTATGGGCATTTAGTCTTTGGACCGAACCCTTTTGTGCCAATGGGTGTTTTTGGATCGATGGTGCCTGTCCTTACGCTTGGATCTTTGTCAAAAAGATGGATCGTTCCCGGTTGGCGGCTTGGGTGGTTTGTGACCACTGATCCTAACGGAATTTTCAAAAACGCAAAGGTATATAAACCTGGTTTTCTTTGTGACTTCTTAGCTTACAAGAAGTCGACTTTTATTGTATACCAAAATCTTGAATTGCCGTGGTTTAATTGTAATTTATGCACAAAAGGGTTGTTAAATCTTGAGTGCCATTCATCGTTCCCATTTCGTTTCTTTTTGCGTGGTCTATCTTGATGAAGAGAAAGAAAGGAAAACGAGTTCAACGGAACTCGTCACGAAAATAGGAAAATGAGTTGAATGGGAACTCTTTTGTTACCATCATGGCTTTTCTTACTCCTTCCGTCCCCAAATAAGTGTCCACATATCCATTTTGTCCCAAAATAAGTGTCCGTTTAAAAAAATAAGTGCATACTTTTCTATTCTACCCTTAATTATACGATGGATAATTTTATTACTTCCTCTATATTATTAAGGGTAAGATTGTCATTTAGTTCACTAAACTGTAATAATACACTTTCCTAAAACCGTGTGCTTTTTTCATCGTGGACACTTATTTTGGGACAGTATTTCTGAATTGATTACAAATTCTAAATCTTTTCCTTGTTGTTCATTCAGACCGTGGAGCGTCTTAAGAAGTACTTTGATATTTGCGGGGGTCCTGCAACCTTTATACAGGTCGGTAGTTCCATGGTTTCGTATATTACATGTATCTAAATGAATACTCGAAATCTACAATTTGGATCTATTTGTTTGAATCTTGGAGCATATCCAACAAATTCTCCAAATTGGAGAAACCGGATATTTTGGAGTTTTTAACTTATTTTTAAATACCAACGGGTCCTCCAAAACTCTCTAAAATGGAGAAAGTATGAAAGGAAAAAAAATCTCCAAATATAAATGTAAGAATGAGTGGAGAAATTATTGAAGTTAAATGTAATTTTCCATCCGTTTTGGAGAAATCATAAAGAATCTGTTTGATGACGGTCGTAGTCCTGGTCAAAATGTCATATGTATTAGGGTCAGTTTGTGAGCAACTTAATGAACTTAATGAGACTCACAGCTTATTTGGTCAACTATACATGACTATTTGGTAGTGGCTTAATGATATAGAAAATGACTTGTTAACAAGCTTTTAGGGGGAGCTTTATGCAGAAGCCAATATTTCCAAACGTGTCTCTCCCAATTAAAAAACATGTTCTATCAATCCATGAAAAACCCTCCCAAACAGAAGGCTTCTCAATCTATATAAACAAATTAACGGACATTTACAACTTTATCCATATAGGACTTGATGGAAAATCAACCAAACAGCCCCTTAGTCTGCAGATGTCCCATCTCTCTTGGGGTTAGATAGTGCCAGTTTTTCTTTTACATTAACCAAACCAAATGAATCCAGTATATTCCACTCAAAAAATAGGGCCTGATGGGTGGGATGTACGCAGATTTGTCATCTACCCCAAAAGGTAGAACAGTTGTATCTGTGTGAGTCTTTAGTTTTTCTTTTACATTGTTTTCTCCATATAGTGAAAATTCGTATGCAATTCTATATGGACTCAATTCTCCTCGGTGAATCACATTAAATCAGTCCGTTTCCGGTTATGTAACCTGCATATTGGGTATTTCAGGCAGCAGTTCCTCAAATTCTTAAGGAAACCAGCGATGCGTTCTTCGCAAGAACTCTCAGCATACTGAAACACACCTCCAATCTTTGTGTCGAGAAAGTAGAAGAAATCCCGTGCTTAACGTGCCCAACAAAACCGCAGGGATCCATGGCTGTCATGGTGAAACTTAATGTTTCTATGCTAAAAGATATCAGCGATGACATCGACTTCTGTTTCAAGCTAGCTAGAGAAGAATCCGTGATCCTTCTTCCAGGTGATAAAAACAAAAAAGATTTCGACTGTCATCCTCGTTTAATATGCGTTGATTATTTTGTTCCATTCAATACATTATTACTATGAGAATATGTGAAACCCTGTTAGACTACTCCCCAAAAAAGAGACGGGAGGTTTCAACATATATTTAGGATAAATGGTCCTGATCTAGTTGATGCGGGACTCTAACACGCCCCCTAGACGGGCACTGATTGCCCCAAAGTGTCGAGTCTTTAGAGTGGTAGAGGTTGACTCTGATACCATGAATGAAATATTTTAATAATATAATCAATGTTGTAATCTTCAAAATAGAGAATTTCTTGCATTTGAATGTATTTTTGTTTTAGAGATTTTGAAGTTTCATTCTCCATTTTGGATTGGTTTCACATATTCTCACATAGTATTAGAGTCAAAGTCTACCACATATTCTATTCAAGGGCTCTTTTGGAGATTCCACATATTCTGACAGTTTTAGCATATGTTGAGGATAATTTATCAAGTCTAACTGATATGAAACTCTAACAACTACCGTCTACTGGGTTTTGCAGGACTGACAGTGGGACTGAAGAATTGGATACGCATAACTTTTGCCGCAGAACCATCTTCTCTCGAAGAAGCTCTTGAGAGAGTTAAGATCTTTTGCCATAGGCATTCTTATGAACCAAAAGGTTCAGCTTGATTCAAGATTGATGAACCACCCACATATATCTTTATTTTTTTTTATTTCTTTTTGTGTTTTTTTTATTTCTTTTTTTCTTGTATATAATGTAAAATGTAAAAGTAAAAACGATAACTTATTCAAATATACTCAGTATATTTCACTCAAAAGTAAGTTCGGAAACTTCATAGAATGTATAAATATACAATAAGATCCCGTTCGATTTGTTGAAATGTCTTTTTAAATATTTGGATTTGTGGAAGGATTTGAAATTTTTGTTGTGTTTGGATCGTAGAATTTGAAATTGTTTCAAATAATTCATTCCGTGATGAAACCGTTTCATATATTTTCGTTTATATACATAGGGCTCATTCAAGGGATAACTGATTTGTTTGTGTTAACCGTGAGATCCAATGTGAACTACTCGTTTGAGATTAATTAATGATTGATTGTAATAAATATTTATTTATATAAAGGTTTTTTGGATTGATTATTGACTTTAATTATTGAAAAATAATGTAGCTAATATTTCATTTAAAATAAAAGAATTGATGCTAATTTTATTTCGTTTATGTATATAGTATGATTTTATTGTAGATTA